ACAGACGTGTTAGATATGACTGCCTTACTATCATATTCATCGTTCGGTTCGACACCCTTGGCACCTTCTTTTTTCATCCTTTCTTTTTTAGAAGGTCGACGGTCTTGAGATATCACTTTGAAACTGATTGGGCCCAGGTAATTCAGGAATTTCGTTCATCTCGTTCCATCTCGATTCGAACGCAGGTCTGTATTTCAACGGTTTGTGGGTGTACCAACTCAGCTAGACACCCTTGGCACCTTAAACATGCTGCAATTTCTAGCAAGCACCACAAGGAGCTGCAACAATCAGTTTAGCTTTTTGGAGCTTGCACCTCGTGTATCTGCGAGGCTGTTCTCGAGCTTCGAGCAGGTGTCCTTGTGGGTCTGTAACATGTAGGAGCAAGGAGGTGATCTCAGTGAGGAGCATGGAAGATAATGCAGCCAAAAACTCTGTACCCTGCTGGCAGGGCTTGCGAAGTCAAATCCTGTTCAACACCTGGATGTCAGAACCTTTGTCCTTCTGAGGCTGTGAGTGGAGGAGCAGAAAGGTGGTTTTACAACGAGGCAGGAAGAACACGGACGAGTAAACCTGGCTGGTGGGCTACCGTGCACACCTAAACCGTTTATGAGCGAGTCGGAATTTTTCCTGTTCAGGACAATGTTGGCAGAGTGAGAGGTGCAAGGAAAAATAAGCAACAGCGAGATGACAATCCCAGATCACACCATCACATTGCAAGTCAAACAGTCACACCGTGTCCAGATAGCAGCATTGCACCAATAATACACCAATGGAGTTTCGTAGCACTGAAAACCAATGTCCGTGGAGAGCACACTCTCTCCCTCAACACACGAGTCCAGTTCCCTTACACTCACACTTGGCGCTCAGCGCCCAGCCTACTCCTACACAGCTACTACAGACTACAAAAAGACAATGCAACTGTTGACATCAGCAGCAGCCCGAAGTACTTGAAGATGCCGCCCATGCAGACCATCGCCAATACCAGGTACGTGCCCTCACATCATCATCATCATCATCATCCTTCACCTATCCCCTGACTTCACCCACACCTGTCCTCTCTGTCACCCGAAGACCACCCCTGCGCTTCACTGTAGTCCAAGCCCACCAGCTATGGTGGCTGGGCTATGGCGCTGCCCTTAGCAGCCCTCTCCCTGTCTCTTATACACATCTAGATGTGTATAAGAGAACTGCCTGGACCCCAAATATGAAATTGACAGTCGAGGGCCTCTCGCAAAAAGCCAGGCCCGCCTTCACTTAGGGCGGGCACCTCCGCCTTCACTTAGGGCGGGGAAGGGAGGAGCTGTCTCTTATACACATCTAGATGTGTATAAGAGACAGCGGTCACACCGTGTCCAGATAGCAGCATTGCACCAATAATACACCAATGGAGTTTCGTAGCACTGAAAACCAATGTCCGTGGAGAGCACACTCTCTCCCTCAACACACGAGTCCAGTTCCCTTACACTCACACTTGGCGCTCAGCGCCCAGCCTACTCCTACACCTGTCTCTTATACACATCTAGATGTGTATAAGAGACAGGTCGAGGGCCTCTCGCAAAAAGCCAGGCCCGCCTTCACTTAGGGCGGGCACCTCCGCCTTCACTTAGGGCGGGTAAGGCTGCAGACAGGGCCCAGTAGGCCTACCGAGGACACTGATCCTCGCAGAGGTCTTTTTTTGATTATTTAGGAACAGTCCTACAGCAGACGTCAGGGTGAAATCGTAGAAGTGAAACAAGGCGAAGGGCCAGAGGTACAGCAGTGCAAATTCCATGCAATTCTAAATTTAAAAACACGAGGACCGATGTCTCTTGGGACATCCGTTCAAATTGGCACGATAAACAGAAGATTAGCATGGCCCCTGCGCAAGGTTAAATCGAGAAATGGTCCTAGCAAAAAAAGAAAAAAAAAGAAACATGAGGACCGACTAAGCCGCAGGTTTGAGCACAGGGTAAGCTTTCTAGGCCCGAAGTGAAGTTTTCATTACTGGTCCACGCTGCCAGCAGGGTAGGTCGGGTTACGTGACCTCGCTTGCCCAGTTAACACTCCTCGTAGTTATTGCACTTGGCCAGATGGAACCTTCTTTTTCTTTTTTATGGGGACCATTTCTCGAATTATGTGCGTCATCCATGGGCAGGTGTCATGCTAATGCTCTCTGTGTCGACTGGAAGCTTTTATTGGTACCATAGGTACAGTGCACATGTGGCACACAGCGGGCCCGCAACCATGCTCCTGCACCACCAAAAATAGGACATCGAAAGCAAAAGGGGAACGATGGGCCTAGTTGACAAGGAAAGAAAAAAATTGGGGCCGCGCTCAACAGCAGCCCCTAAAAATTGTATGTGTGTGTGTGTGTGTGTCTGTGCGTGTGTGCATGTGTGTGCGTGTGTCTGTGTGTGTGTGCGTGCATTGCTATCTTTCCATGTATCGTGAACGTACACGCACTCTCTCTCAGGACTGATACAGTCATTATGACCGTGTGTTCTGTTGCTTCAGACGGCTAGTTCTAGGCCTCTGGCAGCCATCCTTTTTTTTTTTTTTCCTTCTCATTTTTCATGAACCGCGCAGTTCATGAAATAGACGTTACCTCTCTCTCTGTCTGCGAATGTTTGAAAGCTGATGCTTCAGGTCCTATTAAGTCATAGCGAGGGTCCATTCTGTTCCGGAAAACTTCTGATGATATTTCTGACGATCGATTTGTCTTTTCTATCAAGGTACACAAAGCACCCTCATCATGACCGTATCTGGCCTGAAAGATAGCCTTTATACATTCGGGGCAAGAGAGATAGGGGAGGGTGACGTAATTTTGTTACCCCTCGTGTTAAGGGAGGCCTGACCTGCACGGGCATGGAGTATACACAGGGCATATGGGGTCGGTACATTCCATGTATGGAACCTAAAGGTCCCCCGTACAGAGCACCCAAGGATGTGGCAGTATGCTGCAGTAAGGATGCTTTGCTGCAGGCAGATATGGCTGCAGCACATCATTTGCTCAACATATATGGAGCCGGAACCTAAAGGTCCCCCGTGCAGAGCACCCAAGGATGCGGCAGTAAGGATGCTTTGCTGCAGGCAGATATGGCTGCAGCACATCATTTGCTCAACATATATGGAGCCGGTGCAGCAAAGAATATGCTGCAACAGAGATAGTTGACATTCTCCTCTGCAGCATTCATTCACTGCAGCATGTCCATATGCGTGCAATGTTCTTGCAGTTTCTCAGCGGGCCGTCACGCTGACCGGGACACTTTTGTAATCATTCAGCGTTCCGGGTCCTAACCGGTAACTGAAGCAGGCGTAAACTGACAGGGATATTTCTGTAAAATTCTTAAACTACTGGTAAACCGGTACTGGTGGCCCTAAACTTCGTTCCAGGCCTAAACAGACTGCGGCTTATTACTGCCTCAGTCGGTACCGTTGTTAACGGAAAACACAGGCCCATAACTGCTAGTTGTGTCTTAGGGCCAAGGAGTCCGGTCCAGCAGGTTAGTGTAGAACTATAAATAGAGGTCTTTGACCTGTTGGTCTTCAGTTGGTGAACTGCCGTTTGGAGTTTGCTTTGATGCTGCGAGGCTGCCGGTGCAGCGCTATAGCTGAGAAGCCGCTGCTAGGGTTGGAGGTAGCAGTGAAGCAGGCGCTTATTCTGCTGGGCCTGGCGACAGGATATATGTGTTGTGGGGTAAGGCGCTGCCATATCTTCTTCTTCATGGAAGCTGTTTTCTTCTTCTTCAAGCTGGAGTTTCCTTCTTCGTCCTGGTGCTGGTCGTTCGAGGTGTCTGGCACAGCGTTGGAGCATCGGAGGGAGTTGTGACCGGCGTCGGTGCTTCTGAGACAGGAGAGTGGAGGCGCTGGTGGTCTGCAGGATTTGATGGCTGCGCGCTGCAGCTCTGTGCTGTGCGCTATAGCCAGTTGAATGCAGAATGATGCCGGAGGGAGGAGGAAGACTCCAGAAGCTTGTTCTCAGTTCGTTCAAGGTGGTTTGTTCTCGCTTGAGATTCTTGGGTTCTTGTGGAACTGATTGAGCTGGAAAGAGGTGAGAGACTCAGAATTGATATTTTCAGATAATTTCTTCAGTTCGTCTCGAGTGTCGAGCTTCCGCTGTGCATATCTCGAGTCTGGTGTGGTGTGAATTCCCTCTCCGAGTCTGCTTTGTCATCGTGGCATGTGTATGCGAACATGTTGACGCTCTATTGGGTTGCGTTTCAATCAGTCACATAACATGTGCTGCTGCCCATGAGGTGCTGTGACGAGGCAGAGGCCGAGCAGCGAGGCTGGGAGAGAGAGGGAGAGTGAGAGCACACACACACATGCTGTTACATGCCCAGTTGGGCGATGTACATATAAACCGAGGACCCACAATGTGATAAAAAGGACTGAATGGACAATGCAGTGCAAGTGGAATCTCAACAAGCAATGTGCATTCCGATACATACAAAAGGGTGCTTTATAGCGCAGGGAAGACTTTAGATACAAGTCCTGACCTGACCGGGACTGACCACTATCACGTAGTGCAAGGCAGCGCAGCATAATGCTAGAATACCAATGACTAGCCCAATCAATGTTGCAACGCAGACCATACATACATCATGCTCATCACAAGGTGTGAAGGGGCCTGGCGCTATACACAGGTAGGAGGCGCCAGGTCCAGACACACAGACGAAGAGGAGGGGATCAGACGAAGAAGAGGAAGGGGGAGATGGGAAAGTCGTCAACACCAAGTCTTGTTACAAGTCCCAAATAATCCCTCTTCAAAATGTCTGAAGTCCAATGTCGAGTCTGGATCCAAATGTCACCAAGCTCTCTCTCTCTCTCTCTCTC